TGAGCATTCAGTCTTATTTCACCCCTTCAGCCTAATTCAAGATTTTGCTGAAGGCGAATCAGGCCTGCTGATCTGTTTTCTCCAAATTCACATCTGCTTCAGGAAACCATCATCAACTTAGCACCATGTCCTTGGGTGATATGCAAAAGACCTCTCCTACAATCAGCAGTTCACGCTCTGTCATTGCAACTTTTTGGAAGTCAGATCCATCATTTACCATTGCAGGCACATTGTCTGCCACATACTATCTGGTCACCATCAGGTTTCTTATCTTTTCCACTCTCTAAACCACAAAGCACTCTGTTTTTCCCTGTATTCAATTCTCAACTTTTATCTTCAGTTACTTCAGGTTTTACCCGGAAAATTCAGCTAAACAGATGAACACACATTTTTATGTGGCTATAAAATAAATATAAGAATATATTTTATATATCACATGCACAGAGTTGAGAAAAACACTGATGGCTCCCTGTTAGTTTGTTGATCATCTGGCAGAGAAATGATGTCCTGTCTTATGCCTGTGAAGATACTAAATTTTCCTCTTTGATCAGTAGGAAATATATAGCTCTTTCCCCTCAGCAGCTTTGGGTTACAGGTCTTCCAGACATACTAGTAAGCTACACAATATTCATAACAACCTTGCTTTACAGGTTGTCAAATTAGAGTTTAAAATCCAGGTCATGCTTACAGTCCTTTAAAGCACTACATTGTAACTTGGCAGATGCACAGTATAAACATAAAATCCACAAATTGACCTAGACTGGCAACAGTGCCATTAGGATTTACTTTTTGTGTTTCTTTCAGAAAGGAATTATCTTTGTAATTTAAATTCTTTGTTCTTTGCATCAATGAATTGCCAAATAAGAGCAAAGTGCTATTGGGAAATGGTTTTATAGCAAATAAACACATGAAGATGCAGGGAAACAAAAGCGGCAACTGTAATGTCACAAGGTCACAAGAGATTTGAAATAAAAATATTGTGCTAAAACATACAGGCAGAGGCATCTAGCTACAAAAAAGTACCTTTATTTTGTTGCTTAACGTGCATCTATTTAAGAGAAGAACAACTATAAAATACTGTAAAGGGGTGGCGGAAATTCAAGCTGTCACAGTTTATCAAAAACATGTTATCACCTCAGAGCTGGTGCTTAGATCAAGTTAAAGAATAGATTGTCCAAAGGTGGGAATCTTGGTTTCTTCAGCTCTTCAAAGTAACAGGTGAGTCGATAGCACAGAGTAGACAAGAGAAAATGGGAAAATTTAGAGAATTTAAAATAGTTCATGGCTTAAACTTTCCAATTTTTGAGGGATCAAGTTACTGAAGCAAAATGATTTCATACACATCAACTGAACTCTGTTAAATGATCAAGTGTGCCTCCGAGGGCAGCCATTGCTGGCTAAACTTTATTCAGTAGCTTATGAGAATTTCAAGATTATAACTTAAGAAGCTGAATTCACTGAACTCTGAGGATGAGGTGGCAAACTGAGATGATAAACATCTCCACAGGTTTGAATGATTCAACTTCACTAACAGAAAAGTGACTTCTGAAGGGTCTCATCTACTGCCCTAAGCAATGTCGTCTTCTGTTGCATTACTATTTCTATACTACTAGGTATTGCTGGAAAATGCAGAAAAGCCTTGCTTGGTCCAGTATGTTGAATGATAACATGTTTGCATCTATACTGAGTGATCATTATCACAAAACACATTTCCTTACGCATCATTTCTCTGCTTTGATAAACACTAAATCCTCTGAGTCATCCTATGGACATCTAAAATAAGAAGATGGTTGCATCCTAGTCCTGTAAATATCTTTTTTGGGGGGAGGGGGGGAAGGGGGATTTTTTGCTAACTAGCAAAGCCGCACTGAGGCTCTGCATTACCTGTATGAGCATAGTCTTTGCTAATCTTACCAGGTCAAGGTCCTCATTTGTTTGAGCTGAAAGGCTCAAAACAAATCCCTAGCTGTGGGGAAAATGAACTAAGTTTCTGGTCTGTCTCTGAATAGTCTAATAAGAGTGAAAGTAGTGTCTAGGGATAAGTGCTTTATAGGTTTTTGTGGGAGTTTGTTTGTTTTGAAGACAGAGAGACCAGAAAGAGGCAAACAGGAAACAAGTTAGGTAAATGAGGGCTAGAAGCAGAGCTGCACATGGAAAAAAAGAGGTGGGTCATTATCTTTTGTTCTTTTTCATTTTCCCGTGTTTTGCACTCATAGCACATTCTCCCTCTGCCTTTCCCCCTTGTTTGCTGACCCTATCAAAGTGTTCAGGGAAGGTGATTCTTAAGGTCTTCACTTACTCTTTTCCATCTGTTTTCTTCCCATCCTCCATTCAAACACACTCTACCACATTAAGTCACATTATGCTACCTTAGAGCCTGCACAGACAGTCTAGAGTAACAGAGAGACTCAGTGTAACAGAAGCATGACGGAGGAAGCAGGGAGAATTGATTCAAGAACCCAGAAAGCACTCCTCTAGTCTATGCCTACACGATGTAGCCTCTCTTTGCTTACAAACACACACACACACCCCCCAATCACATTTCCACACTGCTGGTACCACATTAACAAAGATGAAGTGAGATCAGATACAGTAGGAGTGAGGGGAAGATAGTGCTTATTATCCCATCTCTACTTATTCCTTCCCTACTTCCTTCCTGTCCTCCCTGCTTCTAGCATAGTCCTCATATGGATGGGGTTGCTGGAGTGAAATCAAGATGGTAGCAGCAGTGCCCTCTGCCACCATTCCTCTAATTCCTCAACTTCCTGGGACAGGAGATGAAAGCAGCAAGGGAACACGGAACAATGCTCCCAGCCCAATTCCTACCATGCTTCAGCCACACAGATTAATCAGTTTCTGCCCCCTCCCTTTAATTTGGCACTTTTCATAGGGCAGAGTCCCAGAGGTATGATAGATAAACTGCTATGTGTTTTGCCAAGACACTTGATTATTACCTGGCTTAGGTAAATAAAGCATTTAAGTTTTCAAAAGCGATGCTAACATTAGTTTGAAACAGTTACAGGCATATCATGTGTGTCTACAACAGATATAAATATCAGCAGTCAGTGGCAAGATAGTCTTGAGCTATCCCTCAGCTTAAGTCTTGTTACTGGGGACTTGAAATTATTTTATATATTACAAATTATATTATAATTTTTTAATATATTTTTTCCCCTCATATTCTGGTACCAAGCTATACTTGTCCTGAAGACAAACCTAAGGTTCTTTTGAGTTCTCCCTCTGCTCTAACTTACACTGGGTTTCCTTTAGGTTCAAGAGGCCCTTACAATTGCTTCCAACTGGAACTATCAGCAAATGCAGGGTAAAGTCATATAATTTAAAGAAAACTCATATTTGCTTACGTTTGTCCCAATTTGTCCTTTCACTCTCCTGGTATAGTGAGTTCTACTCTAAGCATTTCTCCATTAGGAAGATACAAGGAAGCATAAAGATGTATTGGTTTTAGCTAAGTTCATACAGCAGATCCAAGTCAAAGTCAGGAACACAAGCAAAATAAATCAATAAACCTGGAAAGCTGAAATTCAGCCTTCTTTGTTCTCCCATCTACTCTTTCCACATTTCCATACAAGTTTCAGAATGACACCATTCATGCACCTGTTCACATATTCCTGTTTAAAAAAACCCAAACCCACAGAAAAGTGCCCCTCACTGTTCCTCCTCCTGCCAAAACGCTGCAATTAAAAATCTGAAATTGTAGAAGACCTTTATGACTATGGAAATACAATGTGTTGTACATGCAAATCTTCAAAAGCACACATTGCACTTCACCTATATACAGTCGGATCCGCGGTTACTGACCTACCAAATTAATACTTAACATCTTATTTTGCCCCAAGCAAAACTGAACAAATGATCACACACAAAGTGGTGTGATTCCTTATCCTGCTTGTAAATGTTAAGGGGGAGGTATTTTTATCATAGTAGCACGATAACATGAGTGCTGAACGATGAAACTGGAGATCACTTGACATCTCCTCATGCTCTTACCTCTCTTATCTCTGTACTGGTAAAACAGCCCATAATAGCCAGTTTCATCTTCCAGCTGTTCTTTTCTGAACATCCTTTTAACTATCTGATTTCCCCCACATAACTCTTTTCTTAATTAATTTTCAATTACAGACAAAAAAGGGGGGGAGGGGGGGAGGGGGGGA